TAACATCTACATGCTCCCACTGGCACAGATTATAAAGAACAACAAAATAAACTATCACAGCTATGCAGATGACACACAAATATATATCACAATGTCACCAGGAGACCGAGGCCCTGTACAGGCTCTTGGTAAATGCATTGAGGAAATTAATGACTGGTTGTGCCACAATTTTCTCCAGCTAAACAAAAACAAAACTGAGGTAATAGTCTTTGGCGCCAAAGAAAAACGATTACAGGTCACCAGAGAACTTCAATCTATACATCTAAAAACCACAAACCAGGCGAGAAATTTGGGTGTAGTGATGGATGCAGACCTAAACTTAGAAAAACACATTAAGACAATAACAAAGTCAGCTTACTATCACCTCAAGAATATTTCAAGGATAAAAGATCTGATGTCTCAACAGGACCTGGAAAAACTAGTCCATGCATTCATCTTTAGTAGGCTTGATTACTGTAACAGCATCTTTACAGGTCTACCTAAAAAATCAGTCAGACAACTACAGCTCATTCAGAACTCTGCTGCTCGAGTCCTCACTAAGACCAAAAAAGTGGACCACATCAGTCCAGCTCTGAGGTCTTTACACTGGCTGCCTGTCCGTCAGAGGATAGACTTTAAAGTTCTGATGCTGGTCTATAAAGCTCTGAATGGTTTAGGACCAAAATACATCAGTGACCTCCTGACCCAGTATGAACCTTCCAGATCCCTCAGGTCATCTGGATCCGGTCTTTTATCAGTTCCCAGAGTCAGAACCAGACACGGAGAAGCTGCATTCAGCTTTTATGCTCCTTATATCTGGAACAAACTCCCAGAAAGCCTCAGATCAGCTGAAACACTCAGTTTATTTAAATCCAGGTTGAAGACTCACCTGTTCTCAGCTGCATTTGAATAAAGCACCAAATCCACACTTTAAGCTTAAATTTCAAAACTTACATTTAACTACTGATTTTATCTACTGTTCTGATTTTATCTGTTTTGATTTTATATACTGTTTTGTTTGTTTGTTTGTTTGTTAATTAGTTAGTTTGTTTGCTTGTTTTAATCAATTTTAAATCATGCTTTTTATTTGTTTTTGTTTCTAATGTCTCTGTAAAGCACTTTGAATCACCTTGTTGTTGAATTGTGCTATACAAATAAACTTGCCTTGCCTCATGGCACCATTAGAGATGGCGCGATACCACTTTTTTATGTCCGATACCGATATCATAAATTTGGATATCGGCCGATACCGATATGAATCTGATATAGTGTTTTTTTAATATCTTGCTGCATTTGTATAAGTTCATACTCAAGTTTAAATAAACAACAACACTAAAGCTATTCTGTTATACCTGTATGTAAAAAACACACTGCACCCAAAATATTTCATAGTTCAGCAAAACTGATCAATCTAATAAACTTAAACCTGCCCATCCTCCCTATTCTGGTATTTTAAAGAGTAAGCAACCTAACTAATAGGGTTGCAAACTCCCAGCAAAAAAAAAAAAAAAAAAAAAAAAAAAAAAAAAAAAATATAACATACACACACACACACACACACACACACACACACACACACACACCACAACAACATAAAAATAAATAAATAGGGAACCACCCCCCACCTCATGATGCTTAATCGATTAATCAACTTTAATTTAATGCACAGAAATAAATTATTTTTCAAGAATAATTAAATAGATTCAACATCTTTCTTCAACAGAACTGCAGACTGCACAGATGGTTCCCAAAGGAAAAAGTACTAAGCTTACTAGGGTATATTAGACTTAACAGTTACTATATACAGTAATGGACTTCTATACATTTTACATCAGATTAAAACTTTGGGTGTAAGATTCAGATAATTATTTATTAAAAGCTGACATTTTAAATGAGAATAAGAAAGAAAAGTATGTCTTTGTGCCCCCTTTTCCCTGTTCATGCCCTATCGGCCCCCCTGGCTAAACTTTGCTAGATCCGCCCCTGCACAGTTACCAGCCGTCAGCTGTAGAAAAAGATCCTGGGTAGAAAGTAATATTAAATAATTCTAACAACAGCTGATCAAGCTTAAACGTGCTGCTGTTGTTCAGCCGCTGGTTTCCTCTTTCTGGTGCAAAGTGGGCCAAAAACAAAGAAGAGAGACGATCAGCTGATCATTGATCAGTTTCATGATTGAAGTAGCAGCAGGAGAGGCAGTCGCTCCATATATCGGTTGTTAAGCTTAACGTGGGAATGCTTTACAAACATTCAGAGATGAACTTACACACTTGCTTTACTTCTCTCTGGGAAAACTTCCTCGGAGATGAAATGCTGGTTGGTAGCGAGGCTCAAATACACACAGCCGCTCTATCACGTGACCACACTGCTCCGACGTGCTACGGTTATGAGCAGAGTTACGCCGTGTCGCAAGTTTTGTGAGGTGCTTTTTTGATATTTAATGGATCGGATTACATTTTTTATTTCTCTCCGATCCAGTAATTTACGTCAGTATCGGACCGATACCGATACGTAATATCGGATCGGCCCATCTCTACCCACCATGGTCACCACCCACCTTGAGGAGTTTGCCCCCTCACATATACTAATGTGCCACAAACACGGACTTTAATATCACCAACCATTCCCATTTATTCACTGTATCCATATAAATGGCCCACCCTGTAGATAATCCGGGATATTTTCATTTTTTTGATCAAATAAAGTTGGCAATAAACCACAAAGGTCTGTGAGAGATGGAAATGAGCATCTTGTGTGACCACAGAGGTCCTGACACACTGATGCTCTGATTTGTGGTTATTTATACTTTTTTAGATGCCCAAAAATGAGATCCGATAAGGGAACTGATACTGAATGTGGTTTAAAAAAGTTTTATGAAATCCCAAACCAGCCAAACAACCTCCAGAGGAGAACCACTTCCTGTCTGCCTGCTGATTGTTTACTATTTGCTGTATAGTGTCTGTGACGACGCGTATTCGTGATGCATTATTCAGCTATTTTCAGTAACGCCGTCTCGGTCCGACTCTACTTGCACCGAGATAATTATGGTGACAGATTATCTCCAACAGTTGAGTAAATGCATTCACACAGCTGCACACACGCCCTACTGCAACACTACTATTAATACCCCCCCTACACACACACACACACACACACCTTGCAGTGTGTATGCAAAAAAGGCATGAAAGCTCCAACTGTGATCTGCTTCAGTAGCTCCACTCGCTGAGTAGAAATAAATGAGATCTGATGCAACAGTTACCCCGTTTGAGTGCAGACAGAGGGGGAGGAGGTGATACCCGCCAGCAGCTGGGTGTCACAGAGCGGTTAAAACAAACAAAAAAACAAGCAAACCAGGAAGTAAAACCTGCCAGCAGTGATGCACGGCAGCACGCTGCCTGAAGCGCATGCAGACAACGAACACATCTGCAGTAGCCATCTGATGACCTGTCCGTAATCTATCTGCACATCTAATCACCTCACAGTCTATGCATCCATTCATCCATCAGAGCTGCTGAAGCTGCTTATCTGCCAGTCTTTCATAGTCAGCCTGCAGGACATTCAGAACAGCTGAAAGAAGCGTCAAGAATTAAAGAGAAACCAGTGAAAACTTTTCAGAGGTGCAGACGATTCCTTCAGTGTCTGTTTGACTAAAGAACCAATGAAAGAGTATAAAAATAGCTGCTCGCTGTTTTTCTGTCCATCTACAAACAAGTGTCTCAACTTTAATTTCATGACCTATGAGCTGCCAATAACATCACATCTGCTCAAAATCACAACTGATTATTCCACCAAGTCCAAGGATTTACTTTAGTTTACTGTGTCAGCAGTCTGATATAAAACTGTCAAAGTAAGAACCGACTGGTGGGAAATAATAAAGTGTTATTACCTATAATAGTAGGACAAAATTTGTCAGGAGCAAACCACAGCTTTGTCTTCATTAGTCATTATTGGCTCAAACTACTCCTTCAAACAAACTCTGAGAAACCACAGAGTGAAAAATGGTCCAAATTCTTTCAGCTAAAAACGATCCCCGTGTTCTCCCAAAGCTCCTGCTGAGGGTCCACCACAAACGCCATCGAACAGCAGGAAGAAGACGCCAAAAACAGACCAAACATCTGAGAACCTCCGTCCACAAGACGAGGTTAATCAATAATATGTTATTAATATTAGGGCTGCCACGATTAGTCGACTAGTCACGATTCTTCAACGACTGATTTTTTTTTGATCCTGAAATCATGACGCATCTCATCGTTGGTGAGAGAACGGAAATGAAGTCGAAGCTTCAATCAAGCAAATGAACAGAAGATCAAAATGAATCGACAGAGGAGGAGGAAATGCGTCACGGCGGGCTGATGTGGTGATCACAGTTGTGATAATTGGGCTGAAACAATGTTTTATCACATTCTGTTTTGTTGTAGTGATCTTTACACACGTTGGTTTCTTTTTGCCTTTTTTGGAGGTTTTTATGTCGAATGATGTAATGACAGGAAGTCAGCCTGCATCAAACATGTAAAATACTCAAAGATGTTGAAATTGTGAAACTGTGCAAGAGCAAAATTGAAGCTTAATCATGTTGCTGTTACATCTGTAGCCAAATGACATGACAGTCATTTTTACATTAAATGATAACCTATCGACGAGTGTTTTTCAGCCTCAAAGCAGCACCCCGGGGATGTGACTGCACACATAATATCTAAACTCTGACTAATCTATACGTGCCAAACACTCATTTCCCAGTATGGCCCTCAGAGAAGATATCTAAGTCTTTGCTCTATGAAGGTCACATTCTTGGGATGTGAGGATGGTCTTGTTTTTGAAATCCTGTTAAACTCTGCAGGAAACCCTGTGGACTTTATTTCCTCACCGCTTTCCTGCAGGTTCTCTCCCGGCGACTGATGAATATTACCTGTCAGGTGCAGTCGTCTGCTCCAGGACAGCTACACCATAAAAAGAAAACCACACATTTGCAATGCAAATGATCTCCTGCCTGATTTACATGTTGTTTTCTTTACTCCGCTTCGCAGGTCCAGATCTCGATGTGAGGACGTTTCCCTCCTCCGCGCAGGCTCTGGTCGAGCAGCCCTTCATCCAGGAGCTGCAGAGTTCCCCCTCATGTTTCACCTCAGACCCACATGTTGGATACCAACTTCAGGGGCCCCAGTACGGTGCCCAGGTGAACCCCAGAGCCTTTGACTGCCCCAGCATTCAGATTACCTCCATTGCTCCAAACAACCATTTGGAGCCCGACAGTAGCCAGGATGTTTTGGCAGTGGGCGGGGCAGAGGGGGGTTACAGCGACGCATCCTGGTCCAGAGACCAGCTGTACCTCTCTCTGGAGCCCCGCTACCGGGATCCGGCTCTGTGCCCGAGCCCGTGCAGCAGCCTCTCCTCCAGGAGCTGGATCTCCGACCTCTCCTCTTGTGAGTCTTTCTCGCATACCTACGATGATGTGGAGGGGGAGCTACCTGATGCCGCCCGCCTCGCTATGGGTTCCCCCCTCAGCTCGCCTTTTGGTTCTCCGGGCTGTGGGGGCGGAGCCTTTGGGGTAGAGCTGTGGCAGCAGAAGTACCAGCATCCTTTGGCCTTCAACCCGGCGCTCTCGCCCCATCAGTCACCTCGCCAGTCGCCCCGCCAGTCACCGTGCCACTCTCCTCGAACCAGCGTGACAGATGAGAGTTGGCTCAACCGCCGGCCCACTTCCAGGTAGATATCGCCATGGAGACCAGATGTCTTAATTTGGTTCATTTCAACCATTTCAAGATAAAATCACAACAGGACCCTTAAGTAATCGATACTTTAAAATTAAAAAAATAAACATATTATTATATATTAATAAATAACGAACTCCTAATAATTAACTGAATAGTCAGAGTTGTGATTAAAGGTGTGAATTTTGGGAAGCGCTTGTTTAGCGAGTCAGGGGACGTTGCATTACTTTGCAGGTGGGTTTATGTTTATTAAACATAAAAAGTGTTTAATACATGGAAGGAAACACTGCCTAACCCAGGGGTCGGCAACCCGCGGCTCTTTAGTCCTTATAGTGCGGCTCCGCGTGGTTTGGGAAAATAAATTAAAGTATTTAGCTGAAGTGTATTTTATTTATGTTCTTTTTTAACTTGTAGTTCTACATTGGCAGATTATTGTGATATTGACATATAAATATAAAATTATATTTTATTATTTTTTCATCGCTCAAAATAAGCGTCACACGCGTGGAAGCCGGTGTAGTCGCCGAAACGCCGTGCATTTATCGAGACTTTCAACCCCAGGTAGGCCAATTATGGATCTTCGGATCCACATTATGTCGCAGCTGTTCTCCACCGTGAACTATGTTAAAACAAACACGCTCACGCCTCACAGACGACAGCTTACAGTCCTGTAAAGATGAAAGTGACTTCGTACAGCCCCGACCTGCAGACGCTGTGCGCAGAGGTTCAGGAGCAGAAGTCCCGTTGTAAACATATCACGGCAGACCTGATGACGTTTGCATGAACACGCTTTTCACACACGGTTGCTGACGCACACAGCCCGACACACACCAACACAACAGCATAGAGAGCACAGACTTAAGGCGGCGAGGCGTGATTGCGGGTGCCGCTCAGGTGCGTCCGCCTCCCCTGCAGCGGCGCTGCAGACCACGCCCCGCCACACACATTAACCAGGTAAAATACATATTTAGGCAGAATTTTGAAATATCTATTTTTCATTTTTTAGCAGCATAGTTTGTTTTTTCCAATTATTTTTTAAAAGTCAGGTCAAGGCTCCAAAAGCCCAAAGGCGATACAACAGTTTTTGTTTCTGGATCATTTTAGTTCAGCTTTGCTTTTGTTATATTTCTTTAAGAGTTCAAAATGTGTTCATTACATAAATAAAATGTAATTTTCTCTGTAGCACTTCATGGATTTCATAAGCAACACACCTTAGTTGTTCGCACAAAGGTAAAAACAATATGTACAGTGTTATCTTCGTTTTAGATGTCAACAAGTATTTGCAGCTCTGTTTTCTTTTGCGTGGAAACCGGCTCCAAATGGGTCTTAAAGGTTGTGACCCCTGGGCTAAACACGTTCAGATGTGCATGTCTGAGTCGTTGATCCCGCTCTTTCTCAGGCCGTCATCCAGGCCAACCTCCCCCTGTGGTAAGAGACGCCACTCCAGCGCCGACCCTCATGCGCGCTCTCCGTCCCCTCACCACTCACCCAGCCCCACACCAGGCGCCTCCCCACGGGGCAGCGTGACAGATGAAACCTGGGTGGGAAGCCCTGCCGGCGCCCTCGGACCCCTCCTCATGTGCGGATTCCCTGAGCTGGACGTTCCCTCCAAGACTAGGAGGACGTCGGGGAGTCAGTTGGTCCTCCTGGCAGGTCAAGTAGACGCCAGTCTGGAGTCCTTCCAGGATCCTCCCGCAGAAGAGGGGCGGGAACAAGAGGGCCTGGCCGAGCTCTTCCTTCAGGTGCCCTCCCACTTTACCTGGAACAAACCCAAACCCGGAAACGCCCCTCTGTTCAGGTGGGCCTTACAGCATTCAGCAAATAGATTTGGGTGTAGTTCGGTTACTAGCTGATGATCACATCTGTTTTCTCTGCCTTCAGGACCTCATCGCCCCCTCCTTTGGACTGGCCTCTGCCCAGCCAGTATGACCAGTGCGAGCTGAAGGTGGAGGTCCAGCCCAAGTCCTACCACAGGGCGCATTACGAGACGGAGGGCAGCCGCGGATCCATCAAGGCAGCTGCTGGACATCCTATCGTTAAGGTGCGTCCTCAGTATCACTTTCATATTAACCTTTTTTGTCACAGAGTTTGTTTAATCTAAGCTTGTTCTCGATTTACTTTAAGGTGAGTTACCTTGGCACTGACTTAACATGTGAGATTCAAGGGTATTATAGAAATAAACTGAAATGATATTGGAGTCTTTAAACTAATAAACAATAGAATAAGGACGCTCGGGGCACTGGTGCAAAAGTTTACTGAGGCAAACTACAGTGAGAACAGCCACTAAGGCTATTACCAGCTGAAATGAAAGTAAGAGCTTTCAGTGTTGGTGTGATAGAAGAGGGTGCATGTGATGGGTCAACATTAAAATAAAAACTGGATGCATTTCCACTGTTCTCACCACAGCCATGTTGTTAGTCAGATAATGCCATTAAAATGCTCCAAAAGGCTTCAACAGCACAAACATATCCCGCCTAACAGACAGCTAGCAGCTACAGCGGTCTGGGGTCATGTCCACACTAATCGTTTTCTCTCTGTTTTGACCTCCCGTCCACACTGAGACGCCGTTTTCAGTCAAGGAAAACGCAGCGTTTTGAAAGCGCTCTCCAAAGCAGATGCATTTGAAAACGCAGTTTGTGCGTCGCAGTGTGGACAGCGAACCCAGAGCCTTTTTGAAAACGATGACACATTGTAGTCATGTGATGCAGTCATGTGACCAATTAAACTAGGATAGTGGAGGGTATTATACAGCAGTTGTTTTGTTTGACAGCCCTATTAAAGATTAATATCAGTCTGTACGCGCTTCAGAGAGCTTTTCTTCAAATTCTTTATTTCTCACTCACTTTTGCAACTTTGTACTTTTGTGTTACTCGCAGCAACAACTCCACCTCATTGTGAGTCCATTTAAAAAACTCGGTGCTTTTCCTCGACATTTTGCCGCGACATTTCAAAGAGCCGGAAATTAAATAAGCTGCAGGCTGAAATGAGGCAGGCCGAATCTTCTTGCGTTTTGCGCTTGCACAGTACTGAAACGTAAGCGTTTTCGGCCGTTTCAATGTGGACGCACAACTCTGGGAAAACGACTGAAAACGCTAGTGTGGACGCGGAGCGTTTTCAGACGAAAACGCAGTTTTCAAATCTATCCGGGCCAGTGTGGACGTTGCCTGTGCCACCATCCACCTGTCAGAGGCCACGCCCCTAATAATGCAAATTTTAAGGCTTCACACAGTTTAAACAGGTGAGTCGTTATGAAGGGTGAAATTATCTTTAAAGACCAAAACACCTTTTCCCCGTTTCATGCTATAAACGTGTTTAATACTGCTGTAACAATTTAACATGGGAGTCTATGGGGACGTCTGAGGCCTCTAGTGGCCATTAGAGGAACTGCAGCTTTGACTTCGTTTTTTTGTTTAGGCTGTGGTAAGTTTAGGTTTCTGAAAATGAAAACAGTTCAGGTAGATGAAAACAAGCTTCTGTGCCTGCTCGTTCAGTTTTTGGTACTCTTCAAACAGTTAAGTGTGAGTCTGTGGCATAAATAATAATTTTAATAAAAAGCTGAAAGCATCGAGCCTGTGGTGACCCACGGGAGATGAAATCACAGGTCGACTGAGGTTGCGTGCTTTGCCGATGTGTCGAGTGAGCAGCCCCGCGGAGCCTGTGGATCAGACAACAGAGGCGGCCTGAGACAAGTAAAGCCTCCATCAAGGCCTCGCATGTAACGGACACCAGCAGGGCTATTCTGGGTGGCACATTCTCAGGCCGCCGCCAAGGCTAGAAAAGCTTCCTGCTGCAAGACGTGCTAAAACTCGCAGCGTTTACTGTCGAGAAAAGGGACAACAGGTCACACAGGAAGCAGATAATCACACTCAGGGCTGCTGTTTAATTTGTGAAATCTACAAAGGACGACAGAGCTAGGGCTGTTCTTCAAATTCTCTTTGTCTATATTTCCTCTCATCTTAAGATGAATGAGGGTAGAAACTGAATGGTACAGTGACCCCTATCTTTATGATGAAGCAAATACTTAACAAGACAATATTAAAAGTCTTTATAAAAGGATAAGGCAGCTCACTATGCAGATGATTTCTTAACTGCAGGTCTGTAAATGTCACGATCAGTCGGGCCGTTTTCATTTTTTCATTTCCTCGTCCTCCAAGAGATCCCAGCATTTCCCAGGATCCCTTTCCCGGTTTTTAAACCTGTTCCAGTTTAAATGCTGAATCATATGCAATCAATCATCATCAGAACTTTTCATGGCGAGACCTTTTATTGGGAAAGGATCTGCATTTCGACCTGTAATTACAGTAGGTCTAATAAACGAGTCGTATTCTCAGTTACATGTCAGAGTCAAAACAAGAGAAAGGACCGCACTACTGTGGGCTACACCCAGGTGCCCCACCACATCCACCTGTTTTTGTTTCATTTGTCTTGACAGTTAGACATAAATAGTTGTTTTTATTTACAAGTTTATTTGAAGCAGTCGCTAATTTGGTGACTTTTGTTATAAGTCTGTAGCGCTCGTCCTGTTAAAACAGTTTCTAGTGTTTGCTTTCATTTATGGTTATGACACAGGCTTTTTGTTTGGACTTTTTATATAACAATTGGAGGTATAAATGTAAGCCAGGCTCACCTGTCCAAAGGTCAAAAACACACATAACACCTCAATCAATCAATCAAGGCTTTATTCGCCACGTGCAGGTTGCCCTGCAGTGCCCTCTAATACTCACTAAGGAGGAAATTTGCAAGAGATTAAAATAGTAACTGTTAGATTTCTCTTTCAGTTCTCCTTCTTTTCCTTCTGCTAATGTGACCACAGTCGTTTTCTCTCCGTCTCAAACATGCTTCATGTGTTCACTCCAGCTTTATTTGTGGCCGGGAGCTTTTCAGTTCAGATATCACACTTTTGCTTTGCGATAAGCTTTTTAACATCAACACCCTTCCTGAGGACGTGTGACCCCAATGATCAAGGCCACTTACAGCTGAACATGCACATAATGCTGCCTCCTCCGTGTTCGGAGGATATTGTCATCAGGCCTCTCCTCCTCTGTAAGTTATTCCTGGTTTCATCTGTCCAGATGTTTTTGTGTTGTTGTTTTTCTACCTTTCAAGACAAATATCACAAATTGCTTTGCAACAAAATGCTAAAAAGCAAATGCTTTGTCTCCTTTAGCTCTCAGCCTTGACGCACAGGCCCTGATCACATGACCTTAGGTCACGATGTAAATGGCCTGTATTTATATAGCGCTTTACTCGTCCCTAAGGACCCCAAAGTGTTTTACATATCCAGTCACACACACATCCACACACTGGTGATGGCAGCTACATTGTAGCCACAGCCACCCTGGGGCGCACTGACAGAGGCGAGGCTGCCGGACACTGGCGCCACCGGGACCTCTGACCACCACCAGTAGGCAACGGGTGAAGTGTCTCGCCCAAGGACACAACGACCGAGACTGTCGGAGCCGGGGCTCGAACCGGCAACCTTCCGATTACAAGGCGAACCCCCAACTCTTGAGCCACGATCGCCCCAGTACGTTGGTAGTTAACTACTCTCTGATGTAGAACAAATCAATCAAATCTTCCAGAAAATGTGGCAAGAGGACCAAGAGTTCCCATTACCCTTGGACACAAACAGACTTCTTTGTTTTTTTCAATTGAGAAAAGTCTCAGCGATCTAAGTTTTAGTGGAATCTAAGCAAGATCTGTAACATCCTGGGGCTTTACAGGATGTCATCAGCATAGAAGTGACGAGAACCTCGAGAGGAGAACCTCTCCAAAGCAGAGCCTGATACACCCACCCAGTATCTCCACCTGTCGAGCATAATGTGATGGTCACCAGTGTCACAGGTAGAGCTCAGGTCCAACATTAGCAGGAGTAACTGGAAGCTCTCGAAACTTTACAAAACCAGAAAGAGGTTTTTGAACAAAGATGCAGGCAGATGTTTCCAGTTCAGTAAAGAAATGGATACAAATCTTTCCAAAATAACAGCTGAGCTGGAGTAAGAACAGCTGGCAGGCAGGAAGATGCTGAAGGAGAAAAAACATTTCTCCCATTACAGGAAATTTCCAAATAATGTCCTGGGATTAGTTCCTCTCTGAAACCAGTTAACCAGCCTAGTGATGGCCTCCCTCACTTCATCTCTTTGGACCTCATGCTGAGAGTGAACGGCTAACACATGGAATCACCTCCAAGTCTTTTATCTGCTTAAGTTCTCCTGGATATTATTTGGATAATATTTAGGAAGTAGGCTTCACCAGACCATGAAACTTACTCCTGAGCCTCTGAAAATGGGCCTCTGTATAAAAGCGACGGTACTTCCTAAACAGCTGATGCAGGACTTTTGTTTGGTGGTAAAAATGCATCATTGTCCAAAAACCATCAAACCATTCCTTTAAATAAAGGTCTGACCACTTGCGTCTATCCCTCAGGTGGCCTTCATGCTAAACTACACATCTGTGTTTTTCCCCATGGAAAAATTCCCTGCACTGATCCAGCCAGCACGAAATGAATCATTGTAAAACTGTACTGTGAGATATCACATGTCGGCTTCACATCCAACAGTTTAAAGTAATTTGGAGTCCAGAGCGTGACGTTTCAGGTTGCAGTGGTGTCAAGGTGTTCGTCAGGATGAGCAGCTGCTTATCAGCTCGTATTTCTTCCTTTCCTGTAGTTGCACGGATGCAGCGAGCAGCGGGTCGGTCTGGTGCTGTTCATCGGCACCGCGGACGACCGATACATTCGTCCTCACCCCTTCTACCAGGTCCACCGAGTGACGGGGAAGACGGTCACCACCATGTGTCAGGAGAAAATTATGGATTCCATCAAAGTGCTGGAGATCCCTCTGCTTCCAGAGAACGACATGTCTGCCAGGTAACGATCACGAACCCTATAAGCCATGCACCGTCACTCAGGTGCTCCTCATATTGTTTCAGCACAGAGAAGAGCTTTGAATGTCCTTCAAGGAGCCTGAAGAAAGACGATCAAATCAAATATTGACTTTTAAACCTGCTGCTTCTCCATGTATATTTCTGTTTTCTGATTTTTCCTAACAACGTGTAAAGAACGGGCGGGTGTTGTTACGTTCCCCTGAGGGGTCTAGGCGGTGAGGGGGAAGTAACAAAAAGTGTCCGGGTCAGAAAAAGGAGTCAAGGAGGCAAAAGGGTTAAATTAAAGAGTTTTATTAAAGTAGCTCAGCTAAAAGAGACGGATAAGCCGCTATCACCATTTAAGGAAACAAACTTTCCACCTACCAGACACCATAGCAACGGTTGGGCATCGCCTGTGGAAGCTGCCAACCCCATCTCAATGGGTTCAAAATACTGACTGAGGGTGGCCCCAGACCTTCAAAACAATGTCCCATGTGATAGCCAGGGCTTTTTTTGAGCCTCACATGTGGAGCAGGCAGTCAGAAGACCTTACTGGAACAGTTTTCAGGTGTTTCTTCAGGACAGGGGTACAGGCAAGTTTGTTAGCAAGGGGTGCAGGTCTGAGTGGTGGTTCTACACACGATCTGTCCCCCTGCAAGTCATTTTGAGGACCCGAGAAATGGTCAACCAGCGGCAGCTTAGGGTTAGTTGACCTCTTACACTGACTACATGACACTACTAAGCAACAGCATATCAAACCATTTACATACAACTGCTAATTATACTTAATGCTCAGCTACCCACACCCTGGGTAGCTGAGTCTTTATCACGTTCCCAATGATATCGATCTTCACACCAGCCTCGCTGCCAGAAAACCTTTCATGTTACTGTTTTTTCTTCATCTGAGCAACAAAACACGGTAACAATTTCCCCAAAAATGATCGAAATGATCCCAAAACTGGAGAGAGCAATTTTACTTTGAACACAAAGACGGAAACACTCAGGACGTTTGTTCTGAAGGTATTTCGTGACTGAGGCATCTACGAGGTTTCGAGCCCTCCTTTTAGAGGAGGGGAAATTACAAAGATCAGCTGTTTGTGACAGGAAATAACATCGATAAGAACTCAGCATGGTTTTAAAAACATACAAATACATGGCCGCTGTCTCTTTAGGCTTAACGAAGGTCAGGAAGCCAGATTAGAAAGCGCAGCAAAAAATAAAGAGCTGTGGTACAGAGTCTAGACACACTGTAGAGGAGGCAGGAAGCATGTAAATAATGTCACCGTAATCTCAAACATTTAAAGAAGGAAGCATGTACATAAGTCGATAATGTTAGTCTGCTGCTTGTTTGCAGGCAGCGTGAGTCAGCTTTAAGTGGTCATAGCCACAGGATGGCTTTGCTGTGAGCTCAATTATTCAGTAACTAGTAGTAGTACTAGCCATATATGGTGGTGTTGGGTTAGAGCTGTGAATAAGGACCTTGTGTTCACAAAACGGTTTGTACAGATCCTTGAGGCCTTTTGTTCTCGCGTCAGCAACTTTCAGCCACGCTGTGGTTTTCAGGCACGTCAGGCTCATTTAACAAAACTCTAATAAGCGGAGGTGTTTGTAGTCAGATGGGTCGCTCCTCTGTGGATCTTGTTTCACCAGTTTCTCGCTCCCACACTTCAGCTTCATACCTTGCACAGTCTTCTCTGCAGCTGGCAGGAATGTGGACCTGAACCACAGTGCACACTGCGCGAGCTCTGGTCCACGTGTGGACAGGTAGTTAGCAGTTGAGACGATGCGTTCTGATGAACGGTGCCTTTTTTCTCGTAGCATCGACTGCGCCGGCATCCTGAAGCTGCGTAACGCCGACATCGAGCTAAAGAAAGGAGAGACGGACATCGGGCGGAAGAACACGAGGGTGCGGGTGGTGTTCAGGGTCGCCATCCCTCAGCCGGACGGCCAGATTCTGTGGCTGCAGACAGCGTCGATTCCCGTGGAGTGCTGTGAGTCTTGCAAACAGGAAGCTTGTGTTCCTTTAAAGCACGATCGTAGAAGAAGACGCAGAGGCAAAAATATACTGCATGTTTGTTAATGCTCGAGTTACCTTCTCCGTTCTGTTTCCTCTGCAGCACAGAGATCTGTAATAAAGTCCTAAAATAAACCTGTTGCTTTTCAGCCCAGCGCTCAGGTCAGGAGCTCCCTCAGGTGGACAGCTTCAGTCCAGCCAGCGGCTCCGTAGAGGGAGGACAGGAGCTGCTCATCAGCGGGCCCAACATTTCCGCTCAGTCCAGGGTTGTTTTCATGGAGAGAGGGCCCGGTAAGATCGCCTTATTAATTTACTGCAACTTTAATAAGGTTACATAAACTTCTGTGAGCCTGATGATTTGTCTGAAGGTCTAACTCGTGTGTTTTGTCCCCTCAGATGGAAGATCGCTGTGGGAAACCGATGCCAGAGTCGTGCCTGAAAAATGCAGCGGAGTAAGTACGAGGAGTGATGGCGATGCAGCACACAGACGGAGAAAGAGTTAACGATTTAAGGATCCAAAACTTTTTGTTCTCCCTCGAGTTTCAAAATGAGCTCCAACTCGAGCAGCTGTTGCAGTAAATCACTGCAAACGCTCATCGAGGCAGCGTCGGCATCTTTGAGACACGGGAAAACCAAAAAGTTTACATTTATTTCTTTTTTTCCTCAAACAGAAACTGAACTCTTCATGTTTCAGTTCAGTTACCATCCTGACTTCCAGCGATGATAAAAACAAAGTGACTGGGTTCTCACAACAAAGTTCTTGTTCTGACTTGTGCGGTAAATCAAGCGCACCCTCCCATATACAGCTGTACGCTTTGACCCCGCTCTGAAGGCTCAAGTTCACTCTGAGTTTGTTCAGCTGGATCTGAGATCGGGACGGATGAGCAACGTTTCGACAGGAAGGATCAGTAATGTTTGCAGATGTCTGAGCATCTCTCGCTCAGTCAGCTTTAGGCAGAGCTCAGCTCAAATGTTTGTTGGCTCCAATCAATCAGTCCAATTTTATTTGTCAAAAGTCCTTGACATAGAGCAGGAGGTATTTACTAATTGGGAAGTTGGTGGTTTGATCCCGTCTGCACGGTGAGATGCTAACCCCAAGTTGCTCTCCGATGCGTCCACTGGAGTGTGACTGTTAGAAGCACAGAAGAAAATGAGTGTATGAGTCAGTGAACGAGGCATGTTGTGTAAGGCGCTCAGTGCTCAGGTAGAGTAGGAAAGTGCTGTATGAGAACCAGCCCATGTACATTCACAGACGAGTCCTAATAAAACAAAGAAAATAAAGAAATGCAGTTTTACATCCAGTGACCAAGAACACGACTGTAACGCGCTACGCTGCAACACACCGAGATCTTCAAGAACACATGTTCAGGCGCGTCTCAAGTTTCCAGTGAACGTGTGAATGAGTCAGAGGCGGCTCTTTGGCATCAACTCGACGGACGTGTGTGAACACGCATCGTTAATTAACCATTAGCCAGAACAATCAAGATGGGTCTTCCAGCATGGCGGTGACCCAAAACTAAGGCAAAAGAGAGCAGCTGAAGACGGGTCCTGGAGTGGCCTGGCCAGCCTCCAGACCTCCACAGATGAAGTGGCAGCCAAGAGAGCTTCAGAGTTTCTGTAAAGAGCAGCAGACCAACATCTGAGACGAGTACAAACCTGGTGACCAACGACAAGAAACATTGGTTTGTGGCACTAATGACTGAATTAGATTTGACCTCTGCTGCTTAATAAGGACAAAAGTCTTTCTAAGTTAAATATGTGATAAATGGTGTTGCAAGCATAATTAAAATCAGTGAAAGCAGTCAGGCGTCTGCAGCAGGGCCTCCCGAGGTTTTACAGCGAGGTGTGTCACTGTGGAGATGCAGTCTTTCTTCTACACTCAGACTGATGCTTACTGAAAACAGCTCAACCTCAGGATGAAGAAACTTTTGCTCGGAGTACTTTTGCTTCATAGCAGCACGGTACTGCGATCTTAGTTTTATTGCAGGATCCTGCTCAGTTGTGTTGGTGTGTTGATCTTCGTCAGTGCATGCAGCGACGTGCTTTTGTTGCTTCTCGGTGTCCGAGTGTGATTTCAGCTGTAATGTTTCTTTGTTTGCCTCCTGATGTCCGGCTGCACAGTGAGCGGAGGGAAAATATTTGGGTCTAATATTTGTAGTCTCCCCTCGGGCCCTGAAGTGTCGAGCTCACAGAATTTTGCTCAGGTTTTTTTTTCTGAGCATTTGAACGTCTCTTAAGATGGCGACCAAGATTCCCTTTATAGGAAGTGGAAAGAGGAAGTTACAAGCTGAAACCTCCAGCGTTACCACGATAAATTTCAGACATTCATATAAATACTGTTTCCCCTTTTTCGTAGTGCCATGAAGCCTTCTTGCCGAAGCTCCTCCTCCTTCCTTTTAAGTGCGTTTTGCTGACGCGCTCAGAGCCTCCGTGTGGCTGCAGATCAGAGTGCAGCGCATGTGTTAAACCACATCATTTAGGTCCAAACGCCCAAAATACAAAATGCATTAGTATGTAAAGCAGAAAAGCAACAAATGCTCATGTTTTATAAACGTGTGTGTGTGTGTGTTCCAGTCCAGCATCGTGGTGGAGGTTCCTGTGTACAATAAGAAGGCGACGTCGCCGGTCCAGGTCCAGTTCTACGTCACTAACGGGAAGAGAAGGAAAAGTGTGACGCAGAGCTTCACCTACCTGCCTGGAGTCAGACACCACGGTCCTCCCGCTGTCGCCACAGTCAAGCAGGAACGCTGGGAGCCAGATCGCATCTCCCAGAATCCACCTGGCTTCAGCTTGACGGCCTCGCGCAACGGCACGCTCAGTCCTGACGTGGCGTACTATGGTTCCTGTGACCTCCTGGTGCAGTGTGGTCCCCAAAGCAACCCCCATCTCCACCATCCTCACGCCTCTGCTCCCCTTCAGACCCCTTTAATGTATCCTCAGACGTCCTCGGTCCCACTCCAAGTCTCCTTGCCTTCGCAGACCACCTTGATTCCCCTTCAGTCCTCCGTCATGGCTCCTCAGATCACCACGATTCCTCCTCCAGCCTCTTCTGTCCCACTTCAGACCTTCTCCGTCCCTCCACACTCCTCCCCTGGTGGATCTCAGAGGGACCTGTCTCTGAGTCCCAGGAGTACCTTTGTGACACCCGCCAACCCCCCGAAGGACTCTGCGCTGGCCGGGCCGGGGGAGGCGCTCATCATCAAGCAGGAGCCGGAGGAGCAGCCGCCTCTGGGATCTTTAGGCCTCCAGGAGATCACGCTGGATGATGGTAGGAAGCTGGATGTTGACCCAGATTTACTCTTGATAAAAACAAAAAAGCTTCATCCTGTTTTTTTTCACAATAATATACATTTATATTTATCAACATAATATACAGATGTGAGGTCAAAGTCATTTTAATCATTTTAAATTATGGAAGTGACAGCAAGTAGGGCTGTGCGATATGACCAAAATCTCATATCCCGATATAAGACATCTATCGTCCTGACAACGATATAAATCACAAAAAGGCAACATTGTATGTAAATTCTGTGAATCTCAGGCAGCTCGACTTGCGTGAAGTGTTTCCAGCTGCGCGTCCTTTACCTGGAGTCCAGTGTTTTAACCGATGCATGAAATGATACCTCCAAAGGTTGATTCTGTTCATCTGGACGTAGCGTTTTGTGGGAGAAATGTTTCGTCATCATCAGGTGACGTCTTCAGTCTCAGCTGACTGCAGGTTTCCAACCTTATAAACAGCACATTTGCATAATGACTGAAACCAGCCCACTGAAGGAACAATGGGCTGGGAGGTCAGTTCCTTAATCTTAATTATGCAAATTCTCATGACCATTGATCAACAACCACTGATGCCATGAGTCCCATTCACAGAGAGTTGGGGAATGGCTGCAATCACAGCATGTAAGATGGTGACAGATGTACCCTTAGGCCCCCTCCTCGATTCAGAGATGGTCTTTCCCTTTTCACGTAAATGGCCTCCTTGACTCCGCCCTCAAACCAGCGTTCCTCCCTGTCCAGGATGTTACATCCTCATCATTGAAAGAGTGTCCACTGGCCTGTAGGTGTGAATAGACTGCAGAGTCCAGGCCTGACGAGTTATTCGTGACACAGTCATCTCAGGCACAGAAGCTCCACCTACTTGCTATTTTTTAAGGGGCAGCCAATTTGCTTAAAGGAGGAGGAGCTAAAACTGCTTGTTTCTGATTGAACTGAGGGGCTGCACAAAGACTCATTATGAGATAAAGAAGGATTATTGTGAACTCTGAATGATGCAAAGCTGCCCTGGTGGAGTCAAAGTATCAAAGCATGAGCAGCGTTCGTCTTTTTACCTCGTAAACCTGCTTGTTTCAGTCTGTTCTTCTCATGTCAGTGACACCATGTGTGCACTCTGTCGCTCTGTGATGTTGGCTGTGTGCGTGCGTATTGCGTTTGATCTGGGTTAATAATAGCTGTATTTGCTGCTCTGAATGGTGCAGGTGGAGGTTAAATTTGTTGGCACAGGCAGCAGCTGTCCTCGGGGCGTCTGATCTTCACGCTGTCTTCCTCCATAGCCTTTCAGCTCGAATTTAAAACCCCGAAAATCAGAACCTCCACCCCCCCCAGAGGAACGGCAGCCTGCTCACAAACTGAAGCACCTACAGGAGCTTCTCTGGCATCCCATTCTCTTTGTGGAGGGCACCACAGGGAGTTTGTGGCTTTTGAGTTATGTGACTCCTAAGAGATTGATCTGGTTTGGAGATGTGATTTATTTCAGATATTTAAATCAGTCGGTCAGTGCAGAGAGTAGAAGTGCGACAAAGTTTAATGTTCAGGATGTTCAAAAACATTATGCTCACCGCATCAGCACACCGGTAAGAAAACTATGACTGGTTATACAGTGTGCGTGCGTGCGTGCGTGCGTGTGTGTGGTGGCTGATAGAAGTGTATTTACACGATTCTGAAACACATTAAAAATGAAAATCTGGATAATGAATGTTCTCCGTGCCTGCATGATGGACACTTTTGGTACTTTTTTATACTAAATTAGAATTTAACACCTGACCTGACCTTTCATTAAAAGATTGATAAAGTGATGTTGCCATGGACACGGCCTGGGACCCTGCTTTTACTGTCTGTATTCATGCTGGAAATCCAGCTTAAGGTTTCTGTCGTCCTTGAGGTCCTAGCAGCAGGAGCGGCACAATGGTGCAGTGGTTAGCACCATCGCAGGAGGGTCAAAGGTTAGAACCTGCCTTTGTGTGGAGCGAGCGTTTCCCCGTGGCTATATCGGCTTCCTCTGTTTTGGTTAATCGGTGACTCTAAAGTGTGTGTGTGTGTGTGTGTGTGTGTGTGTGTGTGTGCGCGCTCGCGCCTCAGGTTTCACTGCAGAGCTATGAATAGACCGAGCTGTTTGCTGCTCTGCAGATGAACTCAGTTTTATCTTTTGCTGCTCATAACGAGCGCACTGCAGTGTGACCGCCACACCTGCTCAGCACATTTCAGTCCTGCTGCTTCATGATGTGTGAACAGTTTAGTATTTAATGGACGGGTTAGAAAAGCAGAGCAGAGGAGTTAAAGAAAGCCAGTTTGTTTAATTTGTTGCTGTTGGAGTGAATCAGGGAGCTGAATGTGATGGATTAAAGCGTTTGGACAATTCGTTTAAAGCACTTTGTCCTGCTGTGCCCCCGTGTGGCCGTGCTCGGTACTGTAACAGAGTCCTTAAGCAGGTTCCTAACTTAGAGTCTGCAGCCACAATCAGAACTAAACCTAAGGAAAGGTGCTTAAGAGCTTCCTTTATTAACTCCTTCTTAGCGCTCGTGGAGACTGGAGCATCCTTCATGAAAGGAAAGCACCATCGGTGCAGGTCATGCTTGAAGCACTGATTGTGACTGCAGAGCCTTCAAATCAAACTGACCTCTGTCCAGTAAACTGTGTCGTGTTATTTTAATTTTACCCTCAAAGAGCCCAAAAATCAAAATATGGCTGGTGAATTTCAGCTTCTCTGCCAACACAGCAGCAGAGAAGCTGAAATTCCATCCATCCATTCGCTTCCGCTTATCCTTTTCAGGGTCGCGGGGGGCGCTGGAGCCTATCCCAGCTGTCATAGGGCGAGAGGCGGGGTACACCCTGGACAGGTCGCCAGTCTGTCGCAGGGCCAACACACAGGGACAGACAACCATTCGTGCTCACATTCACACCTATGGCAATTTGGATTAATCAATTAACCTATCCCCACAAACTGAGCTGAAATTCACCAGCCATATTTTGATTTTTGGGCTCTTTGAGGGTAGCTTTGCATGAGTCACACCTCAGAGTAATCCCTCCTTATTATGCTGAGCCCCACTGCAACCCCTGAGGTTAGGCATCGTTCAAAACTAGCCATCCTAGCTCCTCCCCCTTCCAAGAAAGTTTCCCTCTGATTGGCTGGGGCTGCCCCTCCCAAACAGCACGACCACGCTGCAGTCTCACTGCTTCAAAGACAGGGATCGGGTTCAGTTTGCAGTTGAATGGGATCGAGTTGGCGATTACATGCAGTCTGATAACAAAGCAGTTAACTGCTTAATCTGCAAAAGGTCTGCAGAGTCCAGCCTCAGGTCTGAATCCAACTCCTCTTCAAATGGTGACGTAGTTGCTGCGTGAGACCAACAAACCGACACAGGTGCTCAGCAACGTTTGTTTTATTGGAATAAACAGACCACAACGTTTCTGTTTTGTTTGCAGTGAACGAGATCATCGACAGGGACATCGGTGGCCTGGTTGGCGGCGACCAACCCGACCGGTACGACTGGGAGCCAAAGTCCGGCGCCGGCACCTTACCGTTCTGCGGAGGCCCTCAGTAGCACCAGCGCTCTCAGGAACATCGTTTTTCTTCTGCTGTTTGCACAAAGTGCTCCAAACTGATCTTCAAGTGCCTGAAATCATCAGATGACCGTTTCCTCGTCTGTCTCAGGAATTTTAGAGAGAAACCGACTCGTACCTCACAGACAAACCAAAGATTTAACTTTTCATGAGCGAATCGGAGGAAGATTAAAGGGCTGAAATTTAACTTTGTCATAATAATTCTAACAATCGGTGACGTCAGACGTAAAGTAAGAAAATTCTGTTATTTATTGGCCAGTAAATTACACATAATCTATTTTTGATACTCTGGATCTGATCCTCAAACCTGAAATCCTTCAGCTGATTTACATTTTTATAGCTTTGTTTTACACTCGTTTACATCTCCTTCGCCCGGTTTAACGTTGATGCTTCTCGACCGAACTGTTGTGGTGTGACACGGCATTTTAGAAACATGTTTAAGGTTGAAGTAAAAAGAAAAACAAACTTGTTGTGTGTCCGAGTCTTTTCTTTCAGAGGATTTCAGAGCCCGACGACCAACACGTGCGCTGAAACAGCAACGTTTCATTACAGGGAGGTCAGAGGTCACGGTTGGTAATATTCTTCTCTACAGGAACAACCAGAAGCTGCTTGGAGTTAAAGAATGACTCGCGCATGACGACAGCTGCTGCTGTGTTTGCAGCAGTGAAAGATTTTAGAAAAGAAAAGATGACGAACAAACGAGCTGCAGCAGAGACTTTTTTAATCTTTTCTAACACTCGTGTTGATGTCGTCTTTGGAGCTCCTGTGTTCAGCACCATGAAGTCTGAAGGACCAATAAGAGCAGCTATGGTTCAGTGTCCCGCCCTCGTGTGGCCGTAAGCAGCTGTAACGCTCTGCTCAGGCCCGATGACTGAGGCACATCTATATTTTCACATTTTAAGGCAAAACCTTTAAAGCCTTGAAGTAACAAAAGCTGCTGCTTGGTCCTTTTTTTAACACGAGCTCGCCTCAGATTTTTGATCTTCTGACATCATGACGGGGTATAAATAAACTGCGATCCCACCATAATGGCGACGGCGAGCTTCAGGTTAGTCCGTCACACAAAGAGCTGCTGGTCTGGGTCGGTTTGAACGAAGCAGAATTCCTCCACGGCCGAGTCCGACCTGGATGTCCAGCAGCTGTCGGCGCAGGTGTAGACTAGCACCGTCCCAAATTCCAGCTCCACCCCTGCACCGCCGCGCTCCCCCTGCAGCAGGCTTACCAGCGCGGGCATGAGCTGCAGCTCGAATGTCCGGGATCCTCCGCAGGAGCCACACGCTGGCACCAGCTGCGCCACGTTGGACGGCGGCTCGGAGATGAAGAGCGGCTTCCCGCCGCGGCAGTAGCGCAGGATCTGCTGCGGACACACAGAGATCGTCTTCATGAACCTGGAGAAGACGGCGTCTCCGTGTCGGGCTCCGGTCTTCTCATACTTCTCGTCCCCGCCTCCTCCGCTTCCCTCTAACTCCCCCACTGCCACGCCCTCCCGCCTCTCGTACTCCCTCAGCAGCTCCTGAGCGTGCTCCAGGTCGCCGTCCTCCCCGCACACATCCGTCTCCTCCACCACGCTGATGAAGAATGGACAGAAGGCGGTCACGTCCTCCTGGGAGTCCCCCAGACTGAGGTCACAAAGACGGCTGCTGACGTCCGTCTCACCACCTGTCAGGGGGAAAAAAAAAAAGAACCATAAGACGACCTCACCTGCCTGTCAGAAGGTAGTTTGCACTACAGCGCTCCCTGCTCTCAGTCTGACTCTAACAGGAGCTTCACTTTATCATTTATTAAAACCAGCGACTGACGCCATAAACTCAAAGGAGGCACTGAGCTCAGAGATGAGCTGAGCAATAGGCTCACTGTCTCAGACTTCCATACACTTTATTTTGGATTATTACAACCATAACGGAGAGGCCTGGGGAAAAGGCAAAAAATAAATAAAGGTGAAGATGGGGAGATGGTTAACAGGAAGAGAGGGGGAGGGGAAAATAGAGGAGAAGAGGGATGGAGAGAGACGCCTGCCGAGGAAGGAAAATAATAACAGAGACCACAGCAAACGCTAACATGACAGCAAATAATAAATGTAACTGAGCAGCACACAGAACTAACAATACAAGAGATTTTTAATCCAGTTCAGTTGCACCAAATCACAACAACAGTTGTGGCACTTTATATTGTACAGTAGATCGCACAATAATACATACAGAGAAAAACCCAACAATCATATGACCCCCTATGAGCAGCACTTTGGCGACAGTGGGAAGGAAAAACTCCCTTTTAACAGGAAGAAACCTCCAGCAGAACCAGGCTCAGGGAGGGGCGGGGCCATCTGCTGTGATTGGTTGGTGTGAGAGAAGGAAGACAGGATAAAGACAGCAGCCGACCAAGATAGGCTGTATCCCAATTCAGGGTCTGCAGCCTCAACGATCCTCAAGGGCCGCGTACTCAAAGACCGCTAAGGCCGGAAGTACGAGGCTTGTGTAATGGGACGGTCTAGCCTCCATTGCGCTGATACTGTTGTTTGTCAATAAAGTTAAAAAAAAAAAAAGCCTCCGTTGCGCTGCCCAGGTTGCCTAGCAACCATGATACTAACCAGCTGGAAACGTGTCATACAGCTGTGTGTTGACAGAAATGAAGGAGAAAATCTTTTGTTCATTTGTTTGTTTCTACATGAGCTTTGATCATTCTCTGGAGATTAAGCTCAGCTATTGAACGACGTATATTTTAAAGTAAAGGCTTTAAAACCAAGTTAGTACAAACGTCACTAATGTCACATGACTTTGCCGACATGTGGCCAACAGGTAATGTTTTAATGTTCTTCGTTATTAAACATTTGCACATAAATAAGTGACATAATATTCAGTACTTAAAGTTTACTCTTCGGCCGCCCTCATCCGCCGTTTTTTTTTCGGCAAATTATCCACACCCACGCCGCGCTATGCATTCTGGGATATGTTGGGCCACGAAGTCTACACCGCCACGTCCTTAAAATTCAGGGAAATGAAGGACGCATTTGAGGGCCGCATTTCGAGCAGCCTTTGAATTGGGACAGCCTTCGGCGCGCCGCTGTGATGTAATCGGCCTTAAAATGCGCCTTTAAGGCTGCAGACCCTGAGTTGGGATACAGCCGCTGTGTGTACACCTGTGTGTACACCTGTGTGTACACCTGTGTGTACACCTGTGTGTTAAGGTGGTCCAAGCTGACTGATAGATCTGCCTCCCATTTCATAATAGGAAGAGATATAGATTCACCTGTTTTGGAGAGCATCTTGTATATTTTGGACAGTAATTTGGAGGTTTTGAGATTAAGGAATTGTACCACACTCGATGGTGTTTGTAATTTGACTTTATTAGGCTTAAATTTCCTTTTATTATACACTTGTTGATATTCTGAAAATCTATTCTTGTTAATCTCATATAGTAAAACTAGTCTCTCAAATGGGATAAAGTCTGTTCCTTCTAATATATGTTCCAAGTATTTAATTCCTTTACTACTCCAATCTGGGGAGTTAATCATATTATTGTTCTGTAGCATGTCGGGGTTCTTCCACATAGGTGTGATTTGCATGGGATTAATGAAGTCAGTCATTTTTATTAACTATGCTGTGAGAGGAGCTGATGCTATTGAAGCATGCATGTCCTTTGATGTTTCTGTGAATGGTAGGCCTGAAATCTCTATTTTATTGCATAGTGGCTGTTCTGCGTCTGGGCAGGGCTCCTCTAAGAAGCATGTTTGAACCACCCTGAGATGAACTGTTGGCTAAGAAGTAGTGCTGAAAGACGACCTCTATCCTTGGTCCTTTGTAGTGTAACGAGAAAAGATCTTCAAATTTACAAGAACCTCAAAGGCACGAGGAGAAAAACTTTAAATTAATGAAAAAATGGCTATGAATTTATAATCTATATATAAAATATGGCATCCTTTAGAATAAAACTTTCAAATTTTAAGAGAAAAAAAAGCGTCAAATCTTTGATAAAAATGCAACTCTGTCCAGCCCTACCTGCTGCCTCTGCAGCTCCTGTCTCCTCCTTCACAGGTGTGTTCTGCTTCGCACCTCCTCCCCATCCATCATTATCTTCCTCTCCCCCCATCCCCCAGTCGTCAGCGGTGTCACACCAGTCAGTGACCCGCATAGGAGCCTCCTGAGCCGGTGCAGGCGGCCCGGGTGTCCGCACCTCTGCCTCCAGGCACTGTGAGCGGAGCACCGCCCAGCACTCTGACCGACCGCTGCACTCAGCTCCCGGGCACGCGAAGACGTGGAGGTTCCTGTGGTGCGGAGACGTGTCCACGGGGCAGTACACCTGCACCACGTGGACTAGCGGGATTCTGCAGCGGCCGCATCGCGGTGACCGGGCAGCGATGCCCGGCGGCCAGTCCGGCCGACCCCCTACTTTGTTGGTCAGATAGGAGCACCGGTGCTTCTTGGAGTCGATCTCTCCGTCACACAGCCCGAGCAGAGACACCTCCTGAGCGCGTGAGGCCATCTTTTAAAAAAACAAAACAAAAAAAACGCCGACCGGAAGTGGAGTTCAGCGTGGGAGGTCCCTCACCAAAATACCACCGACTGGACTCAAATGAAAACACGGGAAGTGTGTCACTGAACTATAAATCACACGATACACGAAATTACACGATAAAACGAAACCATTGTTTTATCAATATTATAAATATTTTATATTTATTATAATATATAACTATTTATATACGCCGTTAGTTTACATTTTCACAGCTTTTAAAGATTTTAACTTTTAAAATTACTGTAGAAAACAGTCATTGGTCCAAATATAAGCGCTTGTGTTTCATGAGGGGCCAAATTCAAGACTTTGAAAATAAGAGTGAAAACAGCGAAGAGATGAAAGATTGAAGTCTCCGTATGTTGTATGCTCATTGTGTGTTCAATAAAGTTATTTTAAAATAAATAAATAAATAGAAGTCTAGACTTCCGACGCCGTGACAAGCAATTTCCGGGTGTAGCACTTTCAAATTAAAAGCAGCTTCCAAAGTGAAAGCTAAAAAGAAAAAAACAACTTGAATTTATCAAATTTATTTACAGTTTTATAGATTTTTTTAAACCAATAAATACATTTCATCAGTTTTTAAACTGCTGTGTGTATTCAAACAAATGTTCAGCACTAGTTGCTCTCTTTCTTTCCCCTCTTTATAAGAATTTAGGAGAATATGAAAATGTTACGAGGAAAAATTGGCAAATTTACGAGAAAATGTAAAATATTGTGTGGAGAAACTTGCAAACCAAGAAATGAAACAGAAAAAAAATGAAAACTAAAATTAGAGGATGAAAAGGAAATTGATATGAAACCTTTCTAACATAAAAGCCGGCAAATTTATAAGGAGAATGTTTAAATGTATGAGAGATAGTAAAATTATGAGATTTGTTAAAATAAATTACACATTTATGAGGAAAATGGTCAGTTTACAAGAAAACCTACAATCATTTTATTAGAAGGAAAGCAAAATCTGCAAATTTATGAGAATGAACTCAGAAATTCAAGAACAAAACAAACATTAGACACATTAAATAATTGGTTTTAAGAATATTTTTCATCTGTCTAGTCTTCGCTCTTCCTCACCTGATTATTATTCTCAATTATTAGTGAGTTATTTATTAATTTATCTTTCTTTTCTGCTGCTGTTTGATGGTCTGCGCCCTGTCCTGTAAGAATAAACTCACTTCACTGCACCATTATTGGAGCTTCTGTGTTTTTTTTAGATCAGATGATAAAACAGCTGCAGTGGCTTTGAAACCCTGCACAAATCCTTCAGGGATTAAATGAATGATTTGACAGAAGCTGGTAATAACAGGATTTTAATATCTACGTACAGCCAGAGCCTTTAAAAATGATCTCTGGGAGCGAGCCGAGTGTTCTGGTTTCAGTCTGAAGAACATGTCCCTGAATGATTTAAACAAAGTTAGAACAGACCGATTTCTCACTATAAAGCAGTAAAGAGCTGGCTGGCTGCATAATTTACGGCCTAATGTAATTACATGTAATCCCTCCTCGTGTATACATTTTTCTCTACATTGACCGTTTCCCCCTCAGGGCTGCTGCGGGAGCTGTGAAATGATTTCCCGTGGTGTGTAACCGCCTCTAATGTCCTCTCCTTTCTCTGCTAATTAGCTCCAGTGTGAGGAGCCTCTGAGCGGAGCCTCCGTTAGTGAAACCACAGCAGAGGTTTCTCTGAATCAACACGTTTTAGCCCATTTACTGCAAAGCAGCCGCACTCTGAATCTCTGCTGAGTTTTTAATCATAGCAGCGGCTTTCAGATTCATCTCGGTGCTCCCCAGCAGGTGCTGGTTTCACTCCACATCATTACGCTCTGAGAGTAAACTGAGAGGCTCGACACTGCAGATAGATAATTCATCCCGTTTGATGGAAGATTTCACTTTAGCTTTATATCTCCTGGCTACATGTGCGCTTTTAAATCTCTCCTCAAAATCCATTTTATAGATCGGCTCTGCTGCAAAGTTAGTTCACGTTTTATTTCCTCTCATTTTATTTTATTCATCCCGTTATCTCGCTTTCACGCTGACTTTTTCCAAAGGAGCACATAAACACTTTTAGGAATATGAGGAGATGTGTTATATATTTGAACGCAACGAGTACACAAGGCATTCAGCTGCTGTGTCCTTATTCAGTTTAAAGCAATTCAAAGGCTCAAGAGCAAAACAGTTTGTTGTTCCAGTTGCTGAAAAATCAGCTTTGTCTTTCTAAGACTTGAGGTCATGGTAAAGGGATTCTAAGTGGTGGATGATCTGAGTGGACCACGAGCTCCTCTGTAGAGTCAGTGTGTCACTGTCCCACAGCTGAAGCTCGGACCACACCGAGTCATCAACAGGACAAAGATCCCAGCACAGCAGCAGGTCTGCAACAGAACGACTGAAGAAGAGAAGAACGGAGCTGCTGCAGAGCTCAGAGAGCTGTGCATGAACGAATGCAGCAAACCTCAACAAGCTGAAGCAACCAAAACTCCTCCACAGTGATGAGACAGACTAATAAAGTCACACGTGAACCATCGCTGCAGGTTATTGGTGCTGAAGGAGGTTCTACAAGCTGCAGATTAAAGTGGAACTCGTGCAGAATGAACTCGGTCTCAGTGAGTCTCCTGTTAGCAGCAGAAGGTAATTAACAGCGATGGCTCTGAATCTCATCAGAGCTGCTGAGGTCTGACACTCTCCTCCTCTGCTGGACCAGAAGATGCCGGCTCGACGCCAAAGCGAGCGCTCCGGGTGACCCGCTCCATCAGTTTATGACACAAGAATGTATATCAGCTAGAAACAGAGAGGGGAGGTGCACCTGCAAAATACTGAGACTTACTGAGGAGGAGGACAAAATATTAGAAGCTGGCAAAAAGTTGTTGATTTGATGTACTTTAAATTAAATTAGTAAATTACTCTGATGGACCTGTGGGTTACAGAACCCGAATCAAAGCCTAAGACATCGAAATTTAATCTCCAGCCCGATGAAATCAGCTCGAGGCTGAAAAACATGAACGGTTTTCATTTTGACGACCAAGTGTGGAAAATACAAGAATATTTTTATGATAGTAACAGAACAAAGCACAAGGCAAAGAGGCAGTGGTGACCAGTGGGCTTAAGTTGCAGGTGGTTATGTCACAGGTCACTCTGATCCCTCTGGCAGGCCGACTGCAGATAACCTTTTGACCTTCACTGAAAGGAGGAGGAGGCGGCGATGTGCTTCACCTTTCCTTTCTTAAAAACTTTTAATAATCTAAGTGGGTGGAAATGAGGGACCCCTCTCCCCAGTGGGGTGTAGCCTCTCGTCTCTGTCGCCTTCATATCTCCTTAGTTTCCTTATTTCGTCACATGCATCATCTTCTGTCCCCTGTGGTGGAGGCAGAATGAAGACGACAGCGTGCACAGATGCTGAGTTCAAAACAACCTCGCTCCTGCACACTTATCACAAAGATGCCACAGATGCCACATGCGTGTATGTTTTACACCGTGAGAAGACCACGCCCCCCCACACTGAATAAAACCTCACACCGACCTTTAAGTCACCAAACTTTAAGCTTCCTTTTGCTTTTAATTAATCATACAGTGATGTGAACCCTGCTGCTTAAGATGCTCAAAGAGGATTCACTGACCAGCGCATCCGGATATGTGCAGGGCGGCGGAGGATGGAGGGTCAGGTGAAGGTGGAGGATCATAAACTCCTGGATCTGCATTGCTCACAACAAATGAACGGCTCCACAAAGCTCTCAGCTTTCACACAGACTCAGCCAGGAGCCTTTAAGAAAGTTGGCCAGTAAAACCATGAAAACGTAAAATGTTCAAGCTGTCAGACGAAGGTTGCAGTTCCTCTAATTGACATATTTTGTCAACACACAGTTGGTGTGGAGTGTCCACAATTCTATTCTATTCTATTCTATTCTATTCTATTCTATTCTATTCTATTCTATTCTATAGTCTGGTTCCTAGTGTGGATCAGCCCCCACAGACTCCCATGTTAAACTTTAGAGCATAAAAAACACATTTATAACCTGATAAAAAGAAGAAAGTCGGGCCTCCTGACTGGCGGGTGGATGGTGACACATGTGCAACGTTTGGCATCCCTGAACCGGATCTATGGTCCAAGTTTCTGCGGTTAATGTAATTATGGGAGCAATAACGTCGGTGCTGTGCGGTTAATTGTACCAACAAAGAAGTTTGTGTCACACTGTTCTCGAACAACCCTTTAAAAACTCCCCTACGAGCTCACAGGTATTACAGATAAAATCCATCAAAGCCGTTTGATTTGTGTTTTCATCTTCAGCTGCTGCATCTTCTAAATGCATTGATGCAGGTTTGAGGCGAATGACTTCATTTCAAAGTGAGTGTAACCATCCAAACCTGCTAAATGATGAATGAGTGGACAAAAGAAAAGAAATGTGCTAACTTATCGGCTCTTTTCTCCCACTGCTGCTGGGTATTTAAAGATACATACACCCAGTCGACATGCATGAATATGTCTGTCCCTGCAGGATTTAAAAACTGGAGGCTCTGCCTCTTATTTACTGTCTGTACGTCCCCACCTGCACGGTTACAGTTTGTCTGCTTCCTGACCTTCTAATTAAGGATTTACTATCAACTATTAATCCACAAATTCAGCTTCATACGCACCGACACAACACATCTCTACTGTACACATTACATAAGGCAGCGTGATTAAAAGAGCACGAAAGCATCTCTGCAGTCCACCGAGACAAGGATTTAGAAAGAACTGATGATGATGATGAAAGCGATGATCAGCTCTTTTGAGGTCAACACACAGATCAAAATATTTTAGATGTTCAAAAAAAGAGAAGAAGAAGCAGGAAAGAGCGATAAGAGTAAAGAAGCACACGTCTTATAAAAGATTAAGAGGTAAAAAAAAGCCGCAGCATGTCGTTCAGACACATGTGATTATAAACGAGAGCTGCCGGCAGGACTGTCCACCAACCGTGAGCAGAAACAAAGAAAAGCTGTTATGAGCCACTTTTGCCAGAAGGTGGAGCCAGATCTTCATCAGTCTGGAAGCATGAGCCCATATAATGAGAGTGACATTTATACTTGCACTGCTTTGTTTTTATTTACATGATTTATCTGTTAATGTATAGTTACAGCTACTGTAAAATAAAATGAAGTGTGCAGACTGAACTTTTGCATCGCCCGTCGGAGGAGTCCTCTGCTGCAAACAGGGTCGGAGAGAGTCGTTATCTATTTAACTGCAGCAGGTAGGAAAGGTTTCTGTCCTTGTTACTGCAGAGTTGAAGGAACCTGCTGCAGTAGATCATGCAGTGGGTGTGAGGTGGTGTCCGGTATGTTCAGCAGTTTGTGGAGCTTCCTTTACTCGGTAACAACCTGCAGGAGCTCCAGAGTCAGAGCCTACCTTTCTCATCAGCTTGTTCTCCCTCTTGGTGTCGCTGGCTCTGATGCGTCTACTCCAACAGAGGACTGCAATAAATAATAAAAATAACTGCATTAGCAATAAATAATAAAAGGGGGTTAAAAAAAGATGTCAGAAGCAACAGTCATGTGACAGCTTTGGTCACGTTCCTCCCTCAGGCTTACTTTGTGCTACAGAGCGTGGTTAAGTAACTGTGCATGTATATAAAAGATGGATTTCAACACGCAGCATCATTGGTCCTAATTTTGAAGCCCAGTTATTGCATTAACGTATTTGCATTACGTCACGCTGAGGTCCCATGTTTCTGAAAGAGATCAAAATGTTCAGATAAGGGACTTTTTTGTTTACCTTTGCCAGACTGACTTCCTTCCTCTTTCATCCCCTTTTCTCCGATCACTGGGGACGCAGCAGCCGTGAACACATTTAACTGAGCGTCCCATCATCCCATTCATGTATTCAGGGAAACACACAGGCCTGCCGAGGCTTTCTCACTGTTAGGGGACGAGTGGGATGAAGCCTCTCAGAGCAGCACCCGCTTCTCTTCATACGTCCTTTCACTTCCACTTTAACCACATGAAGTTTAAAACAACGTTTCTGCAACAGCAGCTCACAGCTGTTAGAGTTCACCACGTGATGTTTTCCTGCTTTCTTCTGTGTCTTTGAATCTCTTTGTCTCCTTCATGGAGGCTGACGGCGTCGGACAGTTTGCATTTGGAACATGAAAGTCGGATTTTCACTGGTCGATTCCTGTAAGCTGCAGACTCACAGATCAGGGTCGGTGTGCGATGAAGCTGCTGTTTGCCAACCTTTGCATCCCA